TTTAACTTTCTTTTATGTCAAATTTGTAAACAGTTTGTAGTTGTTGATTCCAACACTGATAAGATTATTATAGCTTTTTGTTGCAGCAGTATTGATATCGTGACATTTACTGTGTGACAGAGAGCTCTGTGGATCCTGTAGTGATCTGCCTCGCTGTAGCTTTGGGACTGTGTGTGGTTGTGATCTTTGCTTTGATCTTTGTCCTAAGTAAGAGGAGAAACTCTGAACAACGCAAGGGTAAGTCTACATTTTGGCTATTGTTAAAGTTAATATATTATTATAAATCTATTATAACATTAGATTATTTCTATTACATACACTGAGTCAGCAGTTTATTAGATATACTGATTTGTTACCTAATACCCGAAATTCATGTCTAAATTCATGTGGATGTTATGGTTTGTTATAAGAAAATAACCAGGTGATGTGATTAAGCAGAGTCACTGTTACCACTACAAAGATTTTCCAATTATTGTCCTATAGCGGCACATGCCAAAGTGTTTCATTCCTCATATACCACAGGAAATTGGCAATGAATACAATGTCTATTAATGAAAGGGTGACGTTGTGTCCTTTTAATCTGCTTATAGCTACGTTAAATGTTGTGGAACATTTGTGAAACATGTTCTTGTTATCATTTACATTATAGCAATTACAGTATAAACCTTATAAACAAAAACAAAAAACACAGCTTGACAAGTTACAGAGAGACCAGAAAACACCAAAGCTCTTCATCCTGAAGACTTTCCCATGGCAGAAAGCTTAAAGTTACCACCCTAGCTCTGATTGTATAAAGCACTGACACTGGAGACTCCTTCCATAAATGTTATATATACAACCCCTTACAGAAAACTTCGCCATAACAATAATTACAGACATTTTTTTAATCTGTCTGTTTGGAGCATTTGCTGTACAAGTCCCTCTGTAAATCGTTACTATAATGTATAAAATGATAATGTATTAGATTAATTCACTATTCGAATGAGTGAATGAATATAAACCTACTACTGACGCACTACTGTTCGAGTTGCTGTTAAAGACAACTAATCAACATCTTCTGAAAATAGGAAGTAAAAAATGTGACTGTAGATGAGAAGTACTATATGTCTCACCATAGAGATCCGATCATAAAATGTGTATTTCCTTCTCTACAGTGAGACTCAAACAAGGTTCTGTGAGAGACAAGACCCTCAATCAGGTAGATATTCAGGTTATGTGAATACAGGATTGTATGAATGGACACTCAATTAGTTTTTGCGCTGAGTGTCTAATTACTCAGATCATTACACTCTGTAATTTTAAATCTGGCATCCATTCCTACAGGACTGTGACAATGTGGAGCTGAATTACGCCGCCTTACATTTCAATGAGAGGAGAGCCAAAAGAGGAAAAGGAAAGAAACAACAACCTCAAGATATTATATATTCTGATGTGCGAGGTCTTTCATTAACTTAGATTTGATCTCTAATCTGATTCAGTGTCATTAGTTCTGTTATCAGGTTTACTGTCGATATGTTTTTGTTAATGATTGTTAACAAACTGAAAGCTGAATGGTGAAGTCTCAAAATCACTGAAACACTGGAGCACTGGTTCTGCCAAGGAGTGAAGTGAGAAAGCAGTTTAACACATTGGTAAGGGTGTGGAAAAAAATTTAAAAAAAACATAAAACTGCCCTCCCTCTCATGCTGTCTTATGAATATTCATAAGTATATCTATTATCCATTCATCAACCATCCTGAGTAAAGCTAGCTAAAGCTAGAGTGACTCTCGCATGTAAAGTAGGAACGTAACTGAATATGAATACAGATACGAATAGGATGCACTCTAGTCTGTTGTTGTTGTTGTTGTTGTTGTTGTTGTCCTAAATTCACAAAAGAAGATTTTATTTACAGTATACAGCTGTTGCTCCATATAGTCTGCTATAATAATAAGGTTAGTTTCTTATTACAGCTCACCCCATCATGTTTTATTCCTTACTTTTTGAAAATAATCTTTAAAAGTATTTTAAAAACTTGATGTTTGCCATAATTTGAATTTAATTGAATAGAATCATTAATTGCAATTATTAATATTAGACCATTGACAATATGATAGTGTATGCTAAAAAACTAAATATATATAGTTATATACAAAAAAAAAAAGCCTAGTAAAATGTGGGGTTTTAGAATTTGTATTTGAACAGTTCAGATAAGATTTTATAAAAACATAATTCGCTGAACTGTCAGTTAATTAGTTTCTTCAATTTAAAAACTATTTCAAAACCACAACTTGCAGTTTTGCAATATTAGATAAAAACAGGTCAGATGTTAATTTACTCAACAGCATGGCGCACACACACAAGATTTTATTCAAAAAGGGATGTGCACCTCATTTCCTTCTTTTTGTTTTTGATATCATTTTTGAAGAGTTAGGAGGAGGGGCCACAGTCAGTTATCTACTCCTGCTAGCTTGCTAGTCTAGATCGTATGTGGAAAATTCTGTGATGTCAGAGTTTCACGTCATAAATCTTTGGCACAAAGTGAGACGTGCTCAGTTTGACCATCTGACAGTGTAGCAAGAGGAGACATGCCTTCCACAGACCTCATACTGAAGATGATGATACTGATATGGATTACAGTGATGCTTTTTAATAACATTGGTAAGTGTGGATGGTTTTGTAGTTTGATCATATATATGTTGCTGTGAGGATCATTATGTAGGCTGAAAAATGAAGTGTTTGAAAAGTTCAGCTAAGATTTTATAGTATTATACAATGAATTACACACATTTACTATATATTCATTATTATACACATTTTAATAGGTTATAGCTTCTTGCCAGAAAAAAAAATGATTTGCTTGAAACCTACTTTTAAACACTGTTGAGACATCTTCCTAAATATTGGTATCAGGGACTTATTTAAAGACAAGCAACATTTTATTATTACCTTAAAGCAAATTGATGCGTATTATAGGTGGAATAAATTTGGGGTACATTCGTTCATGTTTTCTGCTTGAACTCCAAACAGCAGATTCTGCACAGACAAAGGGCATCAGTCAGCCGAACTCAATGATCACTGCTGATGTTGGTGATAACGTGACTCTGCACTGCTTTAGACTGGGAGCGGAAAATACTAATTCCATCATTTGGTACAAGCAAACAGTAGGACACGAGCCTTGTGTAATGGTCACAGTTCAACATGAACCCAAATATGAAAATGAATTCGAGCCACCAAAATTCAACGTTGAGAAAGAAAAAGAAAAAGGGAGCTTCCATTTGAAAATTGCCAACGTGGAACCATCGGATGAAGCCACGTATTACTGTGGACTTAGAGATTTTCTAACAAGGTTTGGAAATGGAACATTTTTGGCAGTGACCGGTGAGAATTTTTAAATGCATAGCTAGTTGAATAAATTTTTAAAGAATTTAATATTTCCTTTACTTAAACATCAAATTTATTATTATGTGATTCGTGGTGCATATATTCCATGCATTATAATGGTCTAGGTGTAAAAAACTAGGACATACTAAAATTTCACACTGTCTATATTACACTGAACAGCTGATGGAGATGTAAAAGTGTCAGTGTTTCAGAGCAGCGCGTTGGACTCGGTTCCTGCAGGAGCGTCAGTGACTCTGCAGTGCTCGGTTCTCTCTGAGAGCAGAGCAGCAGATCTCCAAGTGCTCTGGTTCAGAGCTGCTCCACCACAATCCCATCCTCAAATCATTTACACTCACCACAACAGCAGCCATCAGTGTGAGAGCGGCTCTTCTACACACACCTGTGTGTACAACTTCTCCAAGAACATCCTCAGCCTCAGTGATACTGGCACTTACTACTGCGCTGTGGTCGTGTGTGGGAGGATCATTTTTGGGAACGGGACACGAGTACAGTTGGGTAAGAAGTATGATGTTTTGCTGATAAACTAGACTATGTATTCATTATTTGGCTATTAACTTGTATCAGGCTATCCAGCAAGTTCTGGCACAATGTTGTCTAATTACAAATATTTCTATTTTTCCACAAAACTTACATCTCAAATCATTATTCTCTCTCATTTTCAAAGACCTGAAGAAATGAGGTGGTTTAGCATAGAAGTAACCACTAATTTTGATATCTGAGTTCATATAAGAGTGGAAAAGATTATATTATGAAGGCACATGGTCAGAGCTGTAAGGTGAATGTGGCAGTTAAATTCTCAGTAAGCGTGTCAAAATCAAGATATCTACATGTGCAACTTTTTTTATATATATTTTTATTATTATTATTATTTATTTATTTATTTGCAACCCAATTAAAAAGTGTGTAATGTGTAGTTAGTGTGTAATTTGTGTAATTAATTTGTAAACTATTTGTACTTGTAGATGATTCCAACACTGATAAGATTATCATAGTTTTTGTTGCAGCAGTATTGATTTTGTGATATTTACTGTGTGACAGAGAGACCTGTGGATCCTGTAGTGATCTGCCTCGCTGTAGCTTTGGGACTGTGTGTGGTTGTGATCTTTGCTTTGATCTTTGTCCTAATCTGTGAAGGAAGAAACTGTGAACAACGCAGGGGTAAGTCTGCATTATGGCTATTATTAAAGTTATTACATTATTATAGGCTATTATAATTTTTAGATTATTTCCATTATATACACTGAGTCATGAGTTTAGTAGATCACTGTATTTACAAATATGGCAAAATATATACCAAGTTCCAGTTTATTAGATATACTGATCTGGTACAATGCTGTTGGAGTTACTGTTACCACCCCAAAGTTATTCATTTTCCAATAACTGCATTATTGATTTTCCAATAACTGCATATCCTAAAGTGTTTTAGTCCTCATACCACAGCAATTTGCCAATAAATATTTTTTTCATTTATTAATGGCTACTTTTTGGCTACTCCCGTTGGGGTCTCCACAGCAGGTCTTTTTCTGCATATTCGATACGGCACAGTTTTTACGCTGGATGCCCTTCCGAATTTTATATGGGCTTAGGACCGGCACTGGGAGTGCACTGTCGTGTGCGGTTACCTGGCTGGGAATTCAACCTGGGCCGTGGCAGTTAGAGCCCCGAGACCTAACCACTAGTCCTCCAGGGACCCTCATTTATTAAAAGAATAACAGTTTATATTTTTTTATCCATTTATAGTTGCATATAATGATATGGAACATTGTTTTTAGCAGCTATAAACAGTCCTTGCCTTTTACTCTCTATTGAAGTTAATAAGAAAAAATGCATCTTGTCATGTCATCTTTTTGTCACCACAAAAACATAAACTCTTCTGTCCTGAAGACTTTCCTGTAACAGAGTTACAAAGTGACCTCTGACTGTTTCAAGGCCCGGACACTGAAGACTCCTTACACACATGCTAATTAAACATCTCCTCTCATAAAATGTTTACTATAGCAACAATTACGCACTTTTTAAAATCTATTAAGTCACGTAGTGTTACTATAGAAAGAGCACATTAATATAAACTTATTGTTTGCATCTGCACTATTGTCAGAAAAGTTGTTATTGAAAAAAATCAACACCTTCTGGAAATAGGAAGTAAAAAATGTGACTGTAGATGCACAGTATGTCTCACTATAGAGATGTATATAAAATGTAAATAAAGTGATTTTAAAAATTGCATTTTCTTCTCTACAGTGAGACTCAAACAAGGCTCTGTGACAGACAAGACCCTCAATCAGGTAAATATTTTTACTCTATGTAAGTACATGCAACTGCTTTTAAACATTTGCTCTGAAAGTGTAATAATTCTAAAGTCTAATAATTTAATGGTCATTCCTAAAGGACTGTGACAATGTGGAGCTGAATTACGCCGCCTTACATTTCAATGAGAGGAGAGCCAAAAGAGGAAGAGGAAAGAAACAACTACCTCGAGATATTATATATTCTGATGTGCGAGGTCTTTCTATAACTTAGATTTGATCTTTAAGCTGATTCAGTGTCATTAGTTCTGTTATCAGGTTTTACTAAGAGTGTGGAAAAATGTTTAAAAAGCATCAGAAATCCTTCTGATTTAGGCCACGCCTACTTCCTGTACAAAAACTAAAAACAGATACTATCTAGGGACTATTACTTCAGAAACCTAATGTATGTATTTACATTGTTGTTGTTGAAACCTTGTTTTTCAAGCTTATTATTCAAATAAGTTTTATGAAAATATTCATATCAATTTTACTTTATATATTTCCTTACTTTTTTCCTGCCCTACATTCTGCTTTTTCTGTGTTCTTTGATGTATAATTATTAATTACAAATACACTATAAGGTTTGTGGACACCTGACGATCACACCCATATGTGGTTCTTCCCCAAACTTGGAAGCACACAATTGTATAGATTGTCTTTGTATGCGGTAGCTTTACAGTTTCCCTCCACTGGAACTAAGAGGCCCAAACCTGTTCCAGCATGACAATGCCCCTGTGTACAAAGCGAGCTAAAATGAAGACATGGTTTGCCAATGCTGGCGAGGAAGAATTCAAGCGTCCTGCACAGAACCCTGACCTCAACCCCACTGAACACCTTTGAGATGAGCTGAAATGCTGACTGCACCCCAGGCCTCCTTGCTTGACATCAGTCCTGACCTCACTAGTGCTCTTGTGGCTGAATGGACAAAATCCCCAGAGCCACGCTCCGAAATATAGTAGAAAGCCCAGCTATATTTTTTTTGTCTTACTAACTTCAAGAAAGAGAAAACAGAGAGACTTGGGAGGGAATGAATATTGATAGCTATGTTGATAACATTAAATGTAACTATAAATGGTTAAAAATCATGATGTGTTGTTCAATAATAAACTAAAAATAATATTGTGGTCAAATTGCTGCAATAACACTAATTTTGCTTTGCACCACATCATTGTGGATCATTTTTGTTTAATTATGCTTTATTCCTTACTTATGGAAAATAGTCTTTAAAAGTATAAAAATCTAACTCAATATTATTCACTAGATTCATTAATTGCAATTATTAATACAAGACCATTGACAATATAGCATTGTGTAGGCTGAAAAATTAAGCATTATTGTAATATAATCAACAGGTTCAGGCTCTTTGTTGGTACCTAGAATAATGAAGACTACAGTAAGAGGCAGAGTTTTTTCTTACAAAGCCTCACAGTTATGGAACAGCTTTCCAGTTAGTGTTTGGGACTGAATCTTTAAGGCAAGACCGAAAACCTATTGGTTTAGTCAAGCCTTCTGTTAACAGCTTTTCTCTTAGAGAAAGGTGCAGATCTGGAGGGTTCATGAGCCCCTCCACTCTCAAAAGTTCACTCAGGTTTGTTGACAGTGGAGTGACTGGCCGCTTAGGTCCAAGGGTGCTGTCATGTTTGTGTTACTTTCTGGCTCTCCCTTTAAAGTTTTGCTGACATAGGTAATCTTGCCAGAGCCCCTGCTTGAACCCTTACAGAACCAGACCATACCTAATGATCTTACCAAGATCATGTTGTCTCTCAATCTCTCTCTCTCTCTCTCTCTCTCTCTCTCTCTCTCTCTCTCTCTCTTTCGAGCTACATGTTATTCCTGTTGCCTGACATCACAGGACATCACAGGATCTGTGGATGTTCTTACTTGGATAGCTTATAGATTGAACTTACTGAAAGCAGTTTACACTCAAGTCTTATTCATTATTCAGTGGATACTTCACTTGGATACTATAGATTTAAATATATATTCAAAAGATATCTCTGATGCTCGTACTGAAGATCCTTTCAACACACTCAGTACTGCTTTTCTCTCTAGTATACAGTTGTGAATGAGTAATGACTCATAATCACACTATTCAGTGTCACCCAGAAGTGGATGCTGATTCCTCATGTCATCTCAAGGAGTTTTTCCTTGCCATCGTTGCCTCTGGCTTGCACATTAGGGATCTAAATCTAAATCTAAATCCATATCCAGATTTTGTAAAGCTGCTTTGTGACATTGTCTATTGTTAAACGCACTATATAACTAAAATTTAATTTAATTGAATAATAGTAATATAATTAATGGTTAATATAAGACATGTGGTTTTAGAATGTGCCTTTGAAAATTTCAGATAGGATTTAATAATATTATTCACTGAACTACCATTTAGGTTCACCTATCTAAAAACTGTCTTGGTATAAAAAAATAAAAGAAAAAAAAAACAGATTTACTTGAAACCTACTTTTAAATGCTGTTTAGACAGCTTCCTAAATATTGTCCACAGGGCTGATGAATTTCTCAAAAACCTGACACCAAAAAAAAAAAAAGACATTTCAGAAAAGGTTGTGCACCTCATTTCCTTCTTTTTGTTTTTGATGTCAACTGTTAAAAAGATTTCATTTGAGGAAAGTTTCAGAAATAAGTGAGAGGAGGGGCCACAGTCAGTTATCTACTGCTGCTAGCTTGCTTGTCTACCTCATATGTGGAACATTCTGTGATGTCAGACTTTCACGTCATAAATCTTTGACCCAAAGTGAGACATGCTCAGTTTGAACTTATAACAGTTTAGCAAGAGGAGACATGCTACACAGACCTCAGACTGAAGATGATGACACTGATGTGGATTACAGTGGTGCTTTTTAATAAAATTGGTAAGTGTGGATGGGTGCTAATCATATGCATCATATTATCACATAAGATTATTGACACAAATACATTTATTACAAGTGATTGGTTGTTTTACTTTTTTTAAATTTTGCTCAAATCTACACTAATGGCAATCTCTGTGTATTATAAGGAGGAAAACGTTTTGGTGCTGTTGAGTGACATGTTTTGTTGCAAATCTCTTAACAGCAGATTCTGCACAGACAAACAGCATCAGTCAGCCGAACCCAATGATCACTGCTGATGTTGGTGATAACGTGACTCTGCACTGCTTTCGACTGGGAGAGGAAAATACTGAAGCCATCATTTGGTACAAGCAAAAAGTAGGACATGAGCCTTGTGTAATGGTCACAGTTCATCACCAACCCAATTACAAAGATGAATTCAAGCCACCAAAATTCAGAATCGAGAAAGAAAAAATGAGCTGCCATTTAAAAATTGCCAAAGTGGAACCATCAGATGAAGCCATGTATTACTGTGGCATTCTAAACTATGTAAAAAAGTTTGGGAAAGGAACATTTTTAGCAGTGAAAGGTAAGAATTTTAATGTACTCCGCTAGTTTAATTCATTTTAATAATTGTTATTGTCGCATGTATATTTTTCCTTTATAAAAAGCACCAAATTTATTATTAACTGACTGAACAGACTGAGTATTACTTTATTAGTGTCTTCATACATTCTAGCATAGTTGAAAAATGCTTCACATATTGCTGATGTGGTATGTCCTAAACTTTTATACCAATCAGATAAAAAAAGATAGATAAATTTGAAACCAATTTTCTCCAGTTGGCTCTTTCCCTCTGTTTCGTTAGAAACCACATGGTTCAAAGTAATTAAAGATTTTACTAGGTGAGAAATTGTATGCTGGTGCATTCCCCGTTTGTAGGACTTTTCTATTTTTTTAACTTGTTAAAAGCAACAAAGATATTTGAGCATATGTGTAACTTAATGAAGTCAGTATATTTAATTCTTCTCAGGTTTTTAAAAAAATATCGATTATGAACATTATGTATCAGCTCTCTAGAGTGCCATGTTAGACTTGGTTCCTCCAGCAGTGTCACTGTCTCTCAGTGCATGTATTTATTTAGTTGTGCATGCTTTATTTATTAAATTATCCTCATTAATCAACATATTCTGGTCGATCAGATTTGAGAATTCAACAGTGCTGTGGTATAAAAGTCATATTATGTGTATTATACTGGTCAAGTATAGTACAATTTACAACAAGTACAACAAGAATCAAACTAAGCTCTTAAAATGTCTATATTACACTGAACAGGTAAACCAGATTTTAGTGTCTCAGTGTTCCAGAGCGGCGCGTTGGACTCGGTTCCTGCAGGAGCCTCAGTGACTCTGCAGTGCTCGGTTCTCTCTGAGAGCAGAGCAGCAGATCTCCAAGTGCTCTGGTTCAGAGCTGCTCCACCACAAACCCATCCTCAAATCATTTACACTCATCACAACAGCAGCCATCAGTGTGAGAGCGACTCTTCTACACACACCTGTGTGTACAACTTCTCC